GTGTACACTTAACGCGGGGACAGAGCAACTGCTGGATAAAAGGAACACACCACTACCAGCGGTGTTGCCGGTGTTGGTCCAAGACAACACCACTTCATCGTCTTCGTCGTCGTCAAAGACCATTCTCCGGCGCAACGGTATCATACAGGTGAACAGGATGAGCCCGGTGAACACRGATCGGCTCAAATATCACTTCACGATCGATACGGCCAAGGGCAAAAACAGTTCCAAGGATGCGACCGAGGTGCGCGTGCCCGCCTCGGTAAACGCCAAGGTRCCGACCAGCCCGACGCGTGCGACTCTCCAAACTCGCCGGAAAGCGCCACGTTATGAGACGAATCGCCGCTGACATGTTTCGACGTCGTCAAGCCGCTCAATATAAAGTTGCTCAACCCGCTCAACACATCGGCCACAATCACAGTGTTGGCCGACGTAGACGACGATGACAACGAGGACGGCGACAACAACTGGGGCACCGCCAACGCCAACGCAATGTTGCTCAGTCCCGGTTCGGCCGCGTCGCTCATGTCCGCCCGACAGATAGACCAGCAACTCCATCAACAGCACAATCACCTAAACAATCAGTCGTCGGCCGATCTGCTCGCCCGAAGCCCGATGAAAGGCGATCGCCTGCTGATCAATGCCGAACCATCGCATCCGTCGCCGTATATAWAGATCTTCGTATTTCGTCAAACAGGATCAGATTTTTTTATATCGAATACACTAGTGCAGTTATATTTATATTATACACTTAAAAAGGATTAATGCGCTCATCATTTTGAATGTTTGGTATATGAGAAGACATATATTATTATTCATATTAACAACAATGAATTACGAAATTCAAATAACTAATATATTAATCGAGTAACAAAATTATATTTACATTTAAATGACGTTCGTCAATCCACTAGTTTGTTTTCGTATAATATAATTTAATTAAATTTCATTGTGTTAACATAAAATACGCTAAATCCATGATCTGCAAAAGCTGAAATTAAATCGCAAAAAGAGTTAAATGATATTTTGTTGAAAAAATATTTTAGCCTGAAACTATAGCTTTTTGTACTATAAATCCAATTGCGTTATCGAATTTCAAATACGCAGCGGTTGATTTACATTTTGTTATGTATTTGATCTCATTGTCAGTTGATTCTATTTAATTTAAATTTGTAATATATTATTTGGCGTTTCCTGGATAGATATTTCTGTTAGTTAATATAGGTATAATATCTTGAAACATTGGTTGATTGTTAGAGCATAATATAACTGCACGACTATATTAAAATTAGAATCAATAATGAATGTATATTATAATCATCAAACTTATATATATATATATATATATATATGTACATTATAACATTATTTTAACCCTGATGAATTGTGTTTATATATTCAATTAAATTTGATATATAAATTTTCCCTTCTATTCACATAGCTAGTGGTTGTTAGGTATTATCAATTGAACTGTTATAATTGCATCACTATCCCAAAGTATATAAGCACCTAAAACGGTAGTCACTGCAGCGTCTGTATAACAATAAAACTACTCTTCACTGTGATCCGRTGGACATAATACAGCACTATAAATTTCAACTTTGATATTATAAGTATTTTTATACAACATTTAATTTTTGTTTAAGCTACCAATATMATTACCAATCAAGATACACACTAATAAATAGCTGAGTTTATCATAGTGCGCTACTGCAGATCGAAATACATTAAAGCAATAGTATATAGCTTAATAAAATAAGTTTATATAGTATTGATATATATATAGCCACACTTAAAAATACTAGTATTTAATAATTAAATATCGTAAAAAAATATATTAACTTATGAAATATAATATATACACAGCTAAGAAGATAACATTTTTAATAACTATTATTTTAATAACACTAGAAATCGGGTTATTTATTTGGATTATGTTAGGTTTATTGGATTATTTTTCAAAGATAAATCTTTTAACATGGCATTAMAAAATTTAAAGTTTATTCAAATCAGTTTTTTATATGATGAAATCTGCTTTAAATTTAATATGAAGCACACCATCTGACCARTAGTCTACTCAATGCTTGCTTATAAAGATAATTTTTTTTAACTTGAATATTAAACTTTTTATATGGTTCAGAGATATATAAAATAAATTTCATATTCATATTTTATAATATTCTAGAACGGTAAAAACTAAAAAATGTTTTATGTATATATTTTAAAATATTAATATATACTTCAACTGCGAAGGTAAGAATGTCACATTGTATAGGAATAGACAATTAATATAGATGAATATTAACAATATAATGCAAATAACAGTAAAAGTAATATTACATTTAAACCAATACATTAAACTTTTTTGCACTTTCAACAAACAAATATTATAGGATTGAATTCAAACATTTGAACAAAATAGAATTTAGATGCAACAAATGTGTGTAAATTATCATATTAAATTATTGTAAGTCTTTACTCTTGCACTAAGTAAACACTTTAACGTAAAAAATAGCATTGTGTTATTGAAAACTTTAATTGAAATACCGAAAAAAATTATTTTTTAGTWAAATATAATAAAAGATTATACGAAAATACAATTGGTAAATTGAAGATAAAAATGTTTAAAGCTAATTCAATAATAAAATAAATTGCTTATTAATTAAACTATTGAGTAAAATCAAATCAAATTTAATTAGACTATTTAATTCAATTCAACAATTCGATTTTACATTTACCAACTTAAATAAACTGACATAAATTTGATTAATATTTATAAATATTATAAAAAACTCATACAATTTAGGAGGATTTTTTCTGTTAAGTTAAATCAACTTAAAGGTACATGTCATTTATTTAGAAAAATCACTGATGTTAACAATAAATGATATAGATTATAGATTACTATTTAATTATATATTTTACGATTGATATTAAATACAAAAAATGTATTTTATTTTTAATCAGTTAACTAAAATCAACAAACCCGATTTTATCAATAATTGTCATTTGTAACAAATTGTAATAATTGTTTATTACTCAATAACATTAAAAATATTGGTTGATACTCATAATAGTGGTCATGTTTAAAGACATAATAATATAGTGCGTAAAATATTTTAGTTTAATGAGATAAGAATTGTTAAATTCTGTTGTTATGAAAGTTAACTCTGGAATAATTTATAAAATATTTACAGCTTACTGTTCGTATGATAAYGAAATAAAAATAAAATAAAATCATGTTATATAAATAATAATAAATAATGTTTTTCTGATCACAAATTGCAGCGTTAAATAATAATACAGTATATATGTACTAAATGTCTAAAGACTAAATGTAATAATAGTTCAATGACTTGAGTATCTGGTAACAAAATTTTAACGATAAATTGTTGATTTCATGTGATTTTTTACTTTTAACTCTGTACTTCGTAATTTTAAGATATATTACAATACAAGTAATAGYCATTATATCAACAAGATAAATAATTAAGTAATGCAACAGATATAATGTAACCAGGCGCTTTGTATAGGCAATTCTTATATATTTCAGAATTATTAAACTGGCACTCCGTGTATCGCCGGAACAACTCAGATACGTTTATATC